TCTTTTTCATCATGCGACTCGTCGATTCGGAGACGCGCTGGTCGATGATATGCATAATTGAACATCCTGGACTGGTTTGGGCACCATTCGTGGGTCGTTCCGTCGAGGGGCACGATCTCTCTGTCGCCGTTGTTGGCGACCGGCTTAGTGACCGTCCCACAACATTCTCATGGGCTCCTCCTGTATTGGTGCGGCCGGTGTTGCATTAATTAAGCGCAGATGCCGATGTATTGTCACCCGCCATTTACCATTCGCATTCGCGTTTGTATTTGTCCGACCAGCGCGATATACTTAATATATGTTTCGTATGCAAGGGATGTCTCGGAAGTGTCGTGTATGTATATATCGTAATTTAATAAAAATATCTTCCCTCCCCTCTGGTGCGAAAAAAAATAAATTTGGAGGAAGAAAAGTCAGAAACTGAGCAATAAAGTCATGCCCGCGCGCGATCACGCGACGGAAACTCGAAGTGGGAGAAGCTTAAACGCCGCGAAGAGTGCCGTTTAATTACCGCTTGAACGCAGGGAATAAAGGTGTGAAAAAATGTGACGTCCAATTAAACTTTCGCTGAGGAGAAATCGACGCCGAATTGATTGAAGAGTTCGCGTAGATGGGAGAAAGCGCGATGTTTCACGGAAATTCCTAGACATCTCACCCGCGCGAAGCTTTTTCGCGAGACGAGCTATTTACACAAATATATGTATTGTGACTTCTATTATTATCTAATATTAATATCTCTGTAATTCCAAATGTGTTATTTCAAGACGCATAAATGTGTAATTTGATTGAAGCTCTTTTTACATGTTTCTTGCCGTATAACTCACAACACATTTTAGAACGTGTTAAATTTACGGATAATTTATTAGTTTAATTTAATACGTCATTTTAATATGTTTAAACGTGTTGATCGAACACATTTAAACGCCAACTAACATGTTTAAAGATATTAAATTGACACATTTGCAGTTTCTTTCTTCAAGAAAAATTTTATTTGTTACCGCGTCTTTTTGCGATTTTTCAATTCGCAAAATAAAACGCAATTGACGACTAAGTTCTTACGAATCGCCCTCGTGTCGCTCGGTGATTCCCAATTGACGAGAACCGTCGTAATTTGGTTCATTTTTAGGACACCCAGTATCATCATGATTGGACTCCCCCGCATTCGTCGTCGCTCGCCTAATTCGCCCGTGTGTGCTCGCACGTCTCGTACGCGCGATCTTGTGCGCATACACGTTCGAGGGAGATCCTGTATGCGCGATTCTTGCGTGTGCGTGTACAGTTTCCGAGAGTTTTGGAGAGAGAAGGAAAAAGACAGAGAAAGAAAGAGAGAAAGAAAGAAAGAAAGAAAGAGAGAGAGAGAGAGAGAGAGAGAGAGAAGGAAAGGAATTTTTTAGTCTGTTCTTCTTAGTTGAAATGGTTGCATTAGTTCAAGAAATTTATACACATATTGAAATGTATGACACGTATGTGAGAGATTCTTACGCTTCAGTGTGTGTAAATTTCTTGAACTAGCGCAGTCATTACAGCTAAGAAGAACAGACCACCTGTGTCGGTAATTTCGAACGATTGATCGCGGATTCCGAAGAGAACAAATCGCCGGGCCTTGAATCTTCCGATCGGATTACGAAGTTCGAGACGATCGAAGGGACAAACGAATGATTACTCCATTCCGAGACGACCGTACAGGATAGGCCGAAGGGGACAAGAAAAGAGAAAGAACTCGGACGGAGAGATGAAACACGGAATGAAATCGCGGGCGCAAGGTAAACAACGGCTTGCATAATCACAATGCGTCTGAGGACGAGAGCGTACATGGTACGATTGTGCACGGACAAGGAAGGTGATGCAACGGCATCGCACCAATAAGGCAAGATACGTGCCCTGGACGTGCGTGCGATCGCCATAACGATGCGTCTTATATTTAGCTCGCTCGCCCTTTCCGTGCTCAAAGTGATATCAAATCGTAAATACGATATCGTGAATATTGGACTGAAGAAAAAAAAGAACAAGAGTATGGGAGAGTAACGAAGAAAAAACGGGTAACAAAATTTGGGTTTAACGATGTAAAACGGAGTATACGTTAATTAAGTCGAACGTTCAAGACAAAATTGTTATAATTTGAATACCATAATTCTTCGAATTTCTTTTTTTCTTTCTTCCGAATTATTTAATTACTCAAGAGACAACATTCTTAATCACTCGAACTACTTTCAGCGATTTACCGCCTAAATACATGGTGTACACTCAATCAATTGTGAGATTAGTCAATTATAGATCATTATGTAGATTACAGCGAATTTTAGAGAAAAATTCGTTTTCTGCTTTTAATTTTCTAAATTTTCTAAAAGCATTTGCAAAACGCGCTATGTACTGTTGATATTTTATCCTTTCAATACAACTCGACTCTTCGATCTAAGATAACGATATATTTACCCGGTTTCTCTGGCGGCCGATGCGTCGTCACGAACGGTCGAGGAACGACACGTGAGCGATTTGCGCATAAAAGAGCACTCTCGTTCACGACGCGCTCGTGGACGTGCATGGTGCTCTCCCTCTCTCTGTCTTTCATGTGCGTGCAACACCATGTGCAAGAAGAATTAATAACGCGTCGTCGTCCTCGCATTGTCTTCGCAGTGTGCATTCAAAGAAGGGACGAACCGCGAATAGTGTAAAAAAGAACTCAGCCGCAAAAAGTATGTTACATTTTCTCTCTTAATGAGAATTCAACGAATAGTCATTGACCTATCCTATCTTCTAAGATATCTTTTCCTGTCAAAGATATTTTAATTTTTATATCTAGTGCCTATGACATCATTAAATATAATTATATCTCTATATTACAAAAATACAAATTATATAGAACAATACTAAAATATGTAAAAGTACGACAAACATACAGAAAATATATGGAAGAATATGGTATATGCTATTGTGAAAGACTCACACTTGTCTTGGTGAAGAAGGTGAGATGGCTGGTCTAGACGGCATGGTGGAACATAGCCTGCCGATCTTTGAGGATGGCCTCAGTCCTGATGGCTTTTGTTCTTTCATGTTTTACTCAATCACTGTCACACGGCTTGTAACAATAATAAGACGGTTAGTAAAGATCATGAACAATATATGCAATAATATGATATATTAGGCATTTCATTGAACAAATGTAAAATTAAAATAAGCTGGAATTAAAAGAATTAAACACGTATATCGAGCTAGTTGATGATTTTCAAGACTGATCGATGTGACTCGTAGAATACGTTACCGTTAACTTTCATAAATTCATTATGTGCGATCGTACATAGCAAGGTTATTGCGTGGGTAATTCTGCGAATACTTGCGAGTACTCGCATGACACTACCGAATCGATGTGTTTTTCGACGACGTTGTTACTCCACACGAAGACGCGAATAGCGAGAATAATTGTGGCAAGCGACGAAATGTCATGTAAGGTGAGAAAAATGACGAAATTGACGAGTGGCTAACCTTAAAATTCGCGATACATTCACGAGTGCTCGCACATGAGCGAACGAAAGAATGCAGTAATTGAAACCGTACCTGGTCGAAAGACGACGAAGTCTGAGGAAACCAAACGATTAATGCATTTCATGCGCCACAATCGCAGAAATACGACGCTGTAGTATTTACTGATAAACACAACGAAAAACTCGCACAACTACTATCGGCGAAATGAATGACAACTGACCGAACATATAGCAGTCAGGTTTGCCAATCCACTGACAGGAAAATTCTCCAAATTGGTGAGTAAATTTAGTTCTCCACTAGAGGTTGCTGTTGGAGAATATTCGTACGCAGTGTAGCCATCTTAGTAAGAATCCTACTAAGTCTGGTAGTTTTCGATAAGCAATTGTAGGAAAATTATTTGGACCGTAGTAGGTAGGAAATCTAGTAGTTTTTAATCTCTGTGATTGTAGGGAAGGCGAAAAATATCCTACCATTCGATTAAGTAAAGCGAAGAGCACAGAGAGATTTTGGCATAAAACTTTAAGTATAAAGCATTAAAAAATGAGCCAATGAGCATTTATCATTTTTATCACCAGGGTGGAAATAAAGAACTCTTATTGGTTCATTCTTTGAATCAATTACTAACTCATGATGAAATCACATGGTGCGTAATAGAACTGCAGAATGAAGAATGCGTCATAAAAGTAACTAATCAGCACTACTCCGCTTTTTTTATCACGCAAGTTTTGTGTGCTGATTGGTTGCTTTTATGACGCACTCTTTTTTCCGCAGTTCTATTGTAACCGGAAATACCGTCGATAAAAGCACAGCCGACCAAAAATGAACAGAGGAACCAGGACCAGGACAAAAAACTCAAATGAGAGATTCTTTTAAGTTCTATATTCATAATTTTCAATGTAAAGTATGAGACGCCATTTTTTTATGTTACTATATTAAAGATTATATTAGATCTAGTAAAAAGTAATCCATTATTTTTCCAATAGAGGGCTTTACTAATCTGTATCTCGCGTTGTATAAGTCCGATCGGATTACGCCAGATGGCGTTAGAAAGATAAGATTTCGTACTAAAAAAAACCTCTCAGAGTTTACAGTTTTGTGATTGCTTGACTCAGTATTGTTTGAGCGCGCGTCAAAGATGGACACCAGCACAGAGAAAATACGCCATATTTTACAGTTTTTCTTTGATAAAGGCGAAAACGCAAGCCAGGCGGCTGAAAGTGTGAATAGTGTTTATGGTCCTGATACTGTAAGAGCCAATCACGCGCAATTTTGGTTTCGTCGATTCAGTTCCGGTAATTTTGATGTCAAAGATGCATCACGCTCCGGGAGGCCAATTGTCGAAAATGTTGATAAAATAATGGAAATCGTCGAGTCCGACCGTCATGTAAGCACCGTTTCGATTGCCAAGGAGCTAAACATTGTACAAAAAACCGTTTGGAACCATTTAAATGAGGCTGGATTCAAAAAGAAGCTCGATGTGTGGGTGCCACACGAGTTAACGCAAAAAAACCTCATGGATCGAATTTCCATCTGCGAATCGCTGCTGAATCGCAACAAAATCGATCCATTTCTGAAGCGGATGGTTACTGGTGATGAAAAGTGGGTCAATTACGACAACGTCAAGCGAAAACGATCGTGGTCGAATCGCGATGAGCCGGCGCAAACGGTGGCCAAGCCAGGGTTGACGGTCAGGAAGATTTTGCTGTGTATTTGGTGGGATTGGCAGGGAATTATCTACTATGAGCTGCTCCCCTACGGCCAAACTCTTAATTCGGACCTGTACTGTCAACAATTGGACCGTCTGAAGGAAGCAATCGCCCAGAAGCGGCCAGCTTTGGCCAATAGGAGAGGAATTGTGTTCCATCAGGATAACGCCAGGCCACACTCATCGATAGTGACTCGCCAGAAGCTCCGGGAGCTTGGTTGGGAGGTTCTTTTGCATCCACCTTATAGTCCGGACCTGGCACCAAGTGATTACCACCTGTTCCTGTCTATGGCGAATTTTTTTGCTGGTGAAAAATTCGCCTCAAGAGAAGCTTGTGAAAATCGACTTTCCCAGTTTTTCGCCAATAGGGACGAGGGTTTCTATGAGAGAGGCATAATGAAATTACCTTCGAAATGGTAACAAGTTATCGAACAAAACGGTGCATATTTGACCTAAATCGGATCATTGTAACTATGTTAAATAAAGCCTCCAATTTGATGCAAAAATAATGGATTACTTTTTACTAGACCTTATATATTATATATTATATATCAGATTAGGACAAATAAAATATTATATTAAACATTATACTAGAAATTAACATATTAAAGGACCATACGAGATATGATGTCAGATTATATATTAAACCACATTATAGTAGATAGTATATTAACCCACATTATAGTAGATTAAGTTCAGTATTTAAACAGCGCCTGTGAGCCCGCACAGAGGAAGACTACACAAGGCCATGAAGATGAGGAAGATTTAACAATTTAACAATACTAAACTGAAACAATTACAGGTCAGCACACCCACTGACTCCAGTCGGAATAAAAGTAATGTTAGGACAACAACCACTGGTTCCAATCGGAATAAAAGTAAGGTTAGAACACCGCAGCCACTGGCTCCAGTCGGATTAAAAAAGAAAGGTTAGGACATCGGCGGCGGGCCCTAGTAAGCAAAGCAAGAGAGCGACAGGCGCCAGCCGAACCGCGAGAGAGAGATGCGCATGCATGGGACCCACGGGGATTCGCGGCGATTAGATAAAGCCGCAAGGAAAATCATTGGCGGTGGCCGGCGACGACGGGTCGTGCGCCTGCGCGGGCTCCCGAATGGAGATGGTGATTGGCCGAGGTGGAGGACCAACCCGGAGGCTTCAGAAAAAACGAGGCCACGTTCGAAATTATAGCAAAGAAAGAAGCGTCTTTTTCTCTCGGACCGTCGAGGCGAACAGACGCGTTGTTGGAAGTACGGACCGAGATTTTACTACGCGAAAGCAGTGAGTTTCTGCCGACGGGGAAGCCTTGGATCATCACAGAGAAGGACGACCTGGTGTACAACCCCAAGCCGAGGCTCAGGAGATGCCGGGAAACGACCGTTCGCGATAGCGGCGGTAAGTGGTGCCGATTGTGGCCGCAGAGTTTCCTCGCGTAATTTCCTCGCGTTGTCGCAAACCCGTCGTCTCGGGAAAAGACTTCCAGGCGGAAACAGAACCGCCGTAGGAACAAAGATGCGCCTGATCCCTCTGAAACGCGTGCGTATCGGGAAACTGCGTCCTCACGTGCTTGCGCCCGACCCTGCTGAAACTTGTGCGTGTCGGGAAACTGCGTCATCACGTGTTCGCGTCCGATCCTGTTGAAGCTTGTGCGCATCGAGAAACTGCGTCATCCCTTGTTCGCGTTCGATCCTGCTGAAACTTGAGCGCATCGGGAAATTGCGTCATCCCCTTGTGCGCTTCGGGATTGAGGGTATAGGGGTATAGATATTATACTTTTATTTTATTCGTTTATCTGATCATCCATATACGTTACTCGTATTCAGTACGTAATCATAGGATATTCCGTTCTTCATAATTTCGGTAGATCTATGTTTTTTTTCTTTTCTGCGTTCATTGTTATTAGTATACTCACTCAGTTTATAATAATCTATCGTTCATGTTACTTTTATTTGAATAAACCGCGTGTTTTCAATTTTATCTCGAACAACGTGTGTATTTCTTTACGGGCTTTCACCCGTATGACACCCTGTCATCTATCGGTAATAGCGGGCGTTCGGAGGCATGAATCTTAGCTTCGGGAACGACAGCACTGTGGGAAATAGAATCCCTTGGTGCGCGACTATTATCTACAGCACATCTGAAGAGACTTGGCCAGTCCTGCTTTTCAGGCCGTGAGTATGGGCGGATCTCTAAAAACATCCTGGCGACCGTGGATATGGGCAGCGGGATCCGTGAAGAAGGCAATCTCCAGATTTTCGGTGCGGTTCAGAGGGTTTAACATTGACCTCTTCCATTTGTCTGGTGACACCCGATCACACTATTACGTACCGTGTAATTTTGTGACCGAATGTCACTAGGCGAGTAAAAATAACTGAATCGTGGATCGAGTTGATGCTAGATCGTCCTACCCGCACCGATCACCTCGGGGTTGACTTCTCCTGGATCCCGCTACCAGCGCACGGTCGCCAGGACGTTTTTAGAGATTCGTCCAAATTATCGGCCTGAAAAGCTGGACCGGCCAAGTCTCTTTAGATCTGCCGTCGATAATAGTTTACACGCGAGGGTATTCTATTCCCGACAGCGCTGTCGCTTCCGAAGCCAAGATTCGTATCGCTGGACGTCCGTTATTACCGATAGGTACGAGGGTGGGAAGGCACGCAAAGAAATACACACTTTATTCAAGACAATATCGAAAACACGATATTTATTCAAATGAAAGTAACGTATAAAATAGATTGCCATAAAATGAGTAAGTATACGAATTATAATGAACGCGTGAAAGAAAAAACATATATATATATATCAAAAATATGAAAAACAGAACATAATACGGTTAAATACTGAATGCGAATAATATATACGGTGTGACGATGCAAATTTTTGCCCGTCATTCAGGTGGTGGCCTGGCCGAAGAGAAGCCGGAAGCTCGCGCAGAAGAGAAGGCGACCGAGTGCCGATTTTTGGTTTTGTGCGCCGTTTGCGCACGGGACAGATACCCGCGGCTATTGTAATTCTTTTTTTTTTGAGTGCGAAAACACCCGCGAGCCAGGGCATCGGACGACAGAAAGACAGACTGGGAGTGGAGCTGCCGACGGAGAGCAGGGGCCCGACGAAACGGCTGGAGCGAGACGCGGAGGAACGGGGAGACCTTCGCACGGACGGACGGCCGGCGACGGAGCGGGATGGCCTTGCGATGAGAAAGGCGCAAGGTTTCGCGACCCAGACAGTCGCAAGTCAGACAGAGAAGGATTCCGCGAAAAGCGCGTCCGGGAGTCCTCTGGAACGGCTGCGAGCCCAAGAGTTGCCGAATGCCGTCCAGGAGAGCGAACAGGCGAAAATACGCGTCGAAGATAAACAATAACAGACGCGAGGTCCCGCGAACATCCTCGAGACGCGTGATCCAGCCGACAGGACCAATCGGGAGTCGCATTGCGCGGCGTGATAGATCCCTGCGGCAGCTGCTCCTACGTGATGTGACGAGTCCTACTCGTCA